CGTATAAATCTTATTTATTCAATCAGTATATAAAACAAAAGTGACAAGGGTTAGAGTTAGGCTGGAACAAGAGATAGTTATTGTAGAAGTGACCTTTTCATACCTGGAGGTCTTCTTCAGACATCAGCACAATGGTGGACAAGTCGTTCTTCAGCTGCCTGGCCAAAACCTGCCATTTTTCTCCACCGCCGTCCACTTCATTTGTGTTTGTGATCTCTTCCTCTAGCCAAGTTGTGCCCTCACCTGACACGGACAGAATTGTGAGTCCACTACACATTAAAAATGAAGAGATGTGCCCAAGTGCAATTTCACACCGTGGGCACCCAACATCAGAAAGTGCCTGTTGGCACCCTTTCACTCTAACGGGGTTTATTAAAAGGCATAAGCTTCCGTGAGATGCTTATGTTTTTTAATAAATACACATGCTTTTTAAACTTTCTCTTCCTACCCCCCAAAAAAACTATCTATTTATTTATTTATTTAATCCCATTTATACCCCGCCCTTCTCCCGAAGGACTCAGGGCGGCTTACAGGTAAATAAAAACAGTACAATACAATAGATATCCCTAAAAGCCAAATTAAAATATATATTAAATGACCTGTATTAAGTTTAATATTATAAACTCCTAAGTGCAATAATAAGACATCCAGAGGGCCAACAGATCCTTGAATTCATTCTCTGAATCTCGATCAAAGTTATTCTGTCCCGGTACAAACCTTGTTTTGCACCTTGGTGGATCTGAGCTTCTAAAGGCTTTAATAATAATTCCTTACCTGTGTTGCTGCTGGCGGTCCATTTCTCATTCTTGGCTACCACCCCAAATTCGGTGTTTTGGGGCAGACACAAAAAGTAATCGTCGTCGTCTACTATGGTGCCATCTCCCGCCAGGACCAAAGTGACAGGCTGGGAATCCAAGTCAATTGCGAGCAGGTTGCAGGCTGTGGAAAAAGAGGACCAGACAGAACCATTTTGCTGCATTGGCCGAGAATGTTTCCCGGGTTCATTTTATTTCCTGCCCTTAAAAAAAAGGCCCCACGGGTTCAGCTTTTAGCACTTCTCTCCAGCGGTGAATACTTTCATGCAGGGGTCTTCAAACTATGATTTGTGGACTTCAACTCCCAGAATTCCTCAGCCAGCATGCCCAAAAGGGCCAAGTTTGAAGACCCCTGCTTTAAGGCCAAGGAATCAGGACATCTGTATCGCTCCGCTCTGCCTGCAGAGCAAAATGTCTCTGCTAGCCCCAAAGCAGAAAGTCTTACCTTTAATCTTCAGTTCCTGGAGAGTGGAGGCGGCCACCCCATGCTGTTCCTGTTGGCCTGCCCGCCTGACCAGGCATTGCTTCAACCGGGGTAGCCCCGAAGCGCCTTCTGCCATCGCTTGGCTTTGATTTTGCTTTGCTCCCCCTTGGCTTTGAATACTACAAGACAGCAAGACAGCTCTCTGTAAGAAACCAATCAGAGCCTGGCATATCCTGCCGAGATATGCCTCTGGGAAATGTAGTTCGGTCTCAGAGGCGCCCTCCCACGGTCCTGTGGCATGATGGGAGGTGTAGTTTTCATCCCCGCTCAAACGTCCGATTGGTTGAAAACAAAAGGGTTTGTCTCCCTTAGTCATCTTCCCAGCTCCCGTCAAACGTCAGTCACTACATTCTGAGTTTGTGAGAGTGATTTTATCCACTCCAAAATGTTTATATTTCACAGCGGGCCTTGTAACTCTCTTAAAGACACTCCATATTTTAAGACTTGCAGAGCGCCTCTTCATATTTTTAGCATTTTATTAAGTCCACATGCTTGTTGCCTTAAGAAGGGAGAAATTGGAAGGGACCCTCAATTTTAGGGGTCTTCAAACTTGGATCTTTTATGACTGGTGGACTTCAACTCCCAGAATTCTTCAGCTAGCATGCCTGGCTGAGGAATTCTGGGAGTTGAAGTCCACAAGTCTTAAAAGTTGCCAAGCCTGGACATTCGGATCTAAATACACCAGTGTACATAGTAATTCAGTTGCAAGATTTACTATCTATCTATCTCCTATCACATCCATCCATCATCCCTCCATCTCTATGTGTGTGTGTCTGTGTGTGTCTGTGTATGTCTGTCTGTCTGTCAATCATCCCTCCGTCTCTGTGTCTGTCTGTCTATCTCTCTCTTTCTCATCTCTCCCACATCTATCTGTCTGTCTATCTAATCATCCCTGTCTGTCTGTCTGTCTGTCTGTCTATCTATCTGTCTGTCTATCTAATCATCCCTCTGTCTGTCTGTCTGTCTGTCTGTCTGTCTATCTATCTAATCATCTATCTATCTAATCATCTGTCTGTCTGTCTGTCTGTCTATCTGTCTGTCTGTCTGTCTGTCTATCTATCTATCTATCTATCTATCTATCTATCTATCTATCTATCTATCTATCTA